TTGGTCTCTGCCGTTTCTGCGTCTTGTCCCCCTCTCCTGTTTGTGTTGTACATGAGTAGAATAATGAGGGTCAGCGAAGGCGATAAGTGCATCGGCGTAGGAGGTGTAGAAACGAGAATGTCGCTGTTTGCACACGATCTTCTGAAACTGACCTCCGGCTGTTCCTCGAAAGGTTCATAGCTGAGTGCGAAGTGGCTGGCGTGCGTGTGATCGTCTGTAAAAAAAGTGTTTGGTGCCATCTGTGTTCTCCTATCGGTTGTCCTTTGCACATAAGTGGAACAGATGGAATAATTCACCAAATTTTGGTCGTTATGCACTGATGGTGGAAAATGGTAGGAAGAAATTTACTGGCCAATAGGAATGACCAGCGATGTGCTGTGGGAACTCGCTCAGCCGCTGTGATGACTGAACATCAACCGCTGAGTCTGAAGGTTAATCTTTGTGTATTCAAGTTGATCTTCATCCCAGTGCTCAACTACGGCCGAAAGTCGTTTTTCATGAATGAAAGCAGCTGAAATGGGTTGGTAGAGACGAATCACCGGGGTCGCTGAGTAAAGAGTACAGAGTACAGATATCCAAGACAGACTGAGTGCACATCTGCTGCTTCCTCAGTCTTAGAAGTCACAGTTGTAATGGTGGAGAACAAGTATTGCGAATGCCTAAAGAAACGAAAGTAAAACAGCCACCACTTTCCCAACTGACCTCCGAAAATCCCTCAACGACTAAGCATGACCTGAAGCAAGTGTATGGAAAGACTCTGCTACCAATTCAGGTTATGTTCTGCGCAGGCTTAAATGCTGTCTCGGGATCAGTAATGTTGGAGACCTTGTCTGCCCCAACTTACTATGAAACTCAAGAGGATAAGCGGTCATCGAAATTGACTGACTGAAACTTCGAAGGTTTTGAATTTGTTCTATACTTTCATAATGGCCACTTCTTCTTGGGTGGTCCGAACATAAGTGTGTCGCTTGGAAGAATATAGGAAAAAATACAAATGTTTCAGAAGCTCCCGGTTTAAAATAGAACAATCAGCACCAAACACCGCCAGATGGCCATCATACAGCAGTTCATCGAAGAAGTGAAACCTGGAAATGTCACACATCGCAGATGTGAATTGCTGTAACTTGACTGACGCATCGCTACGAGCAGAAGTTTCCAGCCATCAGCCCTTAATGAAGATGAAGAACCGCGAGAGGATGAACGAATTATGGTTCTTATGAAGACATTACAGAGCCATGCTAAAATTCACCTCTAGGCAACGTGGAGAAAACGGGTGGTGATAAACACCATGAATTCTCGTCTTAGAAGAGTTAGGCGTTATTTGATATACTCCTTTGACATATTTACCTATATCACAATACGGGTATTGCAACATAAATGTACGGTTTAGCCCATAACAATGAGGCAACGGAATATTGCACTCGAGATCACATCTACGCTTCAAACCATACAGCGACTATTTCTCATCATGTCTATAATTGATACTATACCATGTAAGTGATCATACACGCGAAACAGCCCTTCCACTTAATTACATAATTTGGCAATAATTAAGTGCGAAAATTTCAGCAATAAAATAAAAAAAATGGGTGAGTTTACTATTATTTAGAACCTCATAGGTATAGTCGTAGTAACTGAAGGTCGGGTATTTAAAAGTCAGCGCCTTACTCAACACATTTTTGGGCGGCGCTCTTCGAACAAATCCACTACGTTGTTTAGGACCACGAACGCCTTTTCTGCGCACCTATTCTGGTTCCGATTAAATTTCGGTTTTGAGAAGAATTTCTCTCAAGCCTCAAACGTCACAATCATTGTCAAGAAGGGATGCTAAAAATTATACAAAAATTTATTAAGGGCACAACTACACCAAACCGGGCTTCAGATTTACAGAGCACCGCTTTGTTCTTGATCTTGTTAAAATGGGAAGATGACTGAACTCAGGTGACTGTATTTGTTCATACCGACCTCTCCTGCGATTCTTTGATGTTTTGCGCATTTATTAACCTTTTTGTTAGGTGAGGTGCTCTCTCATTTCTGACTCAATATCATGCTGAAGAACGTTGTCTGAAATTATAACCAAGGACCAACTGTCGATCATCGACGCAAGAGCAGGTATCAGGCCGTGTTCTTAGAGGACCTGAGGTATGTCTATGGCGATTACCAAGGAGTGCGCAGCACTGCTGTTGGGATGGGACTACAATTAAACGCGAACAGCACAAGGGATATGAGGGCATACGGTGCTACTGTCAAAAAAGGATATTTTCGGATACTATTGGCATAAAGGAAGTAGACCAATTCAAGTACCTCTGAAATGCGTCTGCTAATAACGGTGACGTTGGTCCTAAAGATAGTCGCCGTATCATACTGTCATTAGCGAATTGTGTCAACTGGCATGACATGTGGAAAGATCGAATTATAAAAACTGAAACACAACGATCGCCATTCCCATTCTGAAGCCAGCTCTATTCGGGTGTGATTATGTGCATTCCGGAAACATAAGCTGCCCCTGATCGTTGTGAGGTTCGTCAAGACTACTTCCAGCAATGCTGTCTGCAAAAAGTCCTCAACGCGTGAGAGAACCCCTGATGATGAACCATCAGGTGGCGAAGACCAGCACCGATCATCTGAAAAAACGGTCGCATGAACTCAGTGACTGACTGAAGTTGGTTTAAGGAACGGAATGAAAGTATATTCAACATTCGGTGTAACCCGCAAATAGATATTCGAATCTTAATAATGCTCAGCAGAAACTGAATGATAATTTCTGAGTTCAGAAGAAAATCAATGGTTGCCGGACGACAGTAGGATCCAGTGCTATGAGGGGCGCACTAATTACAGAAGCAATTCGCAATATCACTCTTGTTACAAAAGCCAGGTCACGAAATCGTCGCTGTCAGAATCGCGTCTGAAGCCAACTGCACTGCGTCTCCAGAGATGCGTGGGTAATTATGAAACCTCTGTCTGATGTGATAAGCTTTGACGAGACTCGTTGGAAGTGTTTTGGCATAAGGAAAGAGTAACTCAAGTTTGGTGTAAGGTCTTTTGTCCCAAAGACGCCAGCTTGCATCACCTGAAAAGTGCTGATATCCCGTTACAGATTTAATTGTGCATATGAATCCTGAATCTACGTCCTAAAATGAAGCGAAAATCATCGTTCTTATCGCGATCAACATCCAATGATTGTGAGAGTTGGATAGGAAAATGTCGAGTACCTTTAAGCTACTTTGAAGGAAATCGTGGAACGAGCAAAGAACGTTTTCTACGAAAGTTCCGAAAGCTGCATTGTCACTCATGAATAATTACAATTTGAGGTTCGCGTCTAATTTTGAATCCGATATGTCTTTCGAACCTGCTTCCGCGACATGAAACAGAAGCGTTGATCGATGCCAAGCAGAGCTACCAAAACTGGTCGTTACTTGGCATACTAGGCCTATAGGAAGAGACGGATAACATCTCTCTAAGATTGATCGAATCACTGAGGTCACTAGGCGTAAAATTAACTGCACAAGCACAGTGTCCTACATGCGATGCATTGGCAGCCTCCCAGTCTAAGCTACAGTCAACCAGAACCTAATTTGGACTTCCAGGAGGTAGTATGTAAATTAACGGACAACTGATTCTAATCACTGAGGTCAGATGTTTACTCGATTCCAATCATCAACAACTAAAATTGACCTCATCCGTTATTTAGCCTCTCTTTAAGGAGAACTTTGTTTTTCTCTCTGTATATACTCGACATTGGGCCTTCTTCACCAATATTGAAATTTCGTTTTCGTTGGAGTTTACATTCGCAGACAATAGAACCAGCTTCGTCGGCCTCCATTCAATTATTTGTCCAATTTACTATAGGATTTAGCATTAATGGTTTCAATCAGCTTGCGTTGTGTTGAACGAGGAAATGCATTGAGTTTTTCAAAATGAAATCAGACGTTAGCTGGATATCGGCAGTTTATTTTATTCTAACGTTTGAACTCATTGACAGAGCAGACACAACAGTACTCATCTTACAGTACGTATGTTAAGTACCTCAAAGTTCGACATAGAAAACTTGCTCTACATCAACCCAGTCTTGCAACGTTGCATACGCCAGCACTCTCGTCCACAGTGGATGACAATCAATTTACGATGTTGCCGATGTCGTGTCGACTGCGGGATATGATCCGGGCATCCATGCTGTACGTCAAGATGTAATAAGTACGAATCACGAAAATGATTGATGGCACAAATGATTTCCATTGCATGTATATAGCTGAAATAAAAGAACGGTGTACGCGGCATCTCTTCGTTTTCCGTCATATCCACGCTACTATGAGAGGAAACGATTTCCACATGGTAAAATTCCAAAATCATTTCTAGTGCGTCGCACATACCCCATATCTGATATTGTGCTGCGCGACGGAATGGTTCTCATAACGTTGTAGCCATAACCGACTTTACCGACTTTCCATAGCATCAAGTTTCGATTAGTTTAGCATTCAATAGGTTTTTGCAAGCTGATAATATCTGCTTAGCCAGAAAATTGTTTTCGAATGTAAGATCATGTATCTGCCATTTCCAACAATATATGTATCATACATTATGTAGTAGACAAACAAATTTGAAACTATATGGATGTCATGTCTAGCAACGGTTAGGGTTAGAAAATACGCCATTTCAACCTACCAGGATCAGATGTAAAAAATAGCTAAATAAAACATATGTGCAGGATCTTAGTCAAAGTACTTTTCAACATGCACAAAGGCCACTCTTGTACTTTATTAGATTCTAGAAATCCATTAAAACCAGTCAAAAATATGAGGCACATCGCAGAGAGAAGGAGCCGTAAGGCAGCGTATGATTTCAAAAGAAAGCGAAAGCTCTTTCCACCTCTCACATTTCACTGTATCATATTCAATGCATACAAAAACCAAAAGCAAACAAATATAGAACTAAAATGCCGTTGTATCAAAGAACCATAAACAACTGAAACCACCACATTCTCATTTGTCACGCCAGAAAATTCATTCAATTACAGTTGGTAGAACACCGTCTGGTGCAATCATCAGTTCTTCAGCAAATACGTTCAAAAGATCTCTATAAGCCTGAGCATCAGCGATGGCGGACACTTTGTTTGCGGTGGTGCCTATCAGAAACCCGTACATAATGGACCTTCCTCCAAACACAAGAACAATAGGGCTTCCAACATCAGACTGAAAATAAAAACGCCATTAGCACCAAGGACTCAATGATGCAATAGATGGTGTTTCCACGGTCAAAATGCCGGTGCATGTCTTCCGGTGACAGTTATTTACTGAATGTCAGTTATAAATTTTGTATATTGAGAATTACTGTCGTCGTTTCCGGCATTATGTCAGAAAACTAGAAACACGAAATGACGGAAATCGAAGTTCTCTGACCGCTTCTTATGTCTACTAAGTCGTATCCGTACAGAACTTTGAGAACTCGATTAAAGTCCAGTTGCGGAGGGATTACGCACGCAGCCTGTTGATGGTAGCAGCGAAAATAGAATGATTTTTATATTTGTTCAGAAAACTTCCAATATTCATATATGATAGATTATTTGACCGGTAATTGAACGAGCTTCGAATATCCCCCACCTCCAAGCACAGACTAATCATTGTCCTGAATCCCTGTCTCAGATGTAGCCAATACATGTATATTACAGCAGCATGTTCACTCAATACAAGTACTTACTGAGGTAAGATCATTCCAGTGGGACACCGGCGCAGCACAACGATGATATCGAGGATAAAAGCTACGAATGGCGCTCGCGCATTCACTTTGATTCTGGACCTTCAGTCGCAAGACCTTGACGGCGAAGCTGCCTAAATGTCAATACTTAACTGGGCCGCAGCACGTCTAACCAACCTAAGTTGTCCTCGACCCCAAAGATTCTAAACGTAAATCCTGGGATTAGTATTTGCCTGCAGTTTGAAATGCAAGCGGGTTGGATGGTAGGGCTGGATTGGCAGTGTTCTCTAATTTCGATCAAAGCAATGCTCCTCGAAAAAACTCCCAGTCGAAAGCCGGATAGCAAATTTGCCGCTCGAGCGGTCACTTCCACGCGTTGCTCCGAAGCGTTGTTCAGATCATGCACTCCAAGAACGATTCGCAGTTGATCCAGCCGTCGCAACGTCAAGGGTGGATGGCTAGAGTGAAAAACACCAATTCATTAACTGATGTGGAAGCAGCCAAAATTTCGATATGCCAATAACAGTCGAAATATAACAACTCCAAAAAACGGTCGTTCCCACAACGCCATGTGTCATGAAAACCCATGTCATGGTGCCTAGAAAGGCACGCGGTATGGCAGCTTGAAAATTGAATATACAACGACCAGGTTCCGTCGTAGAAAACGAGTCTGTCGATGCCACAGCAAACTCAACACTCCGCATATATGGTCTAGTGATAACCAAGAAGGATAGGTTCGCTTCGATATTTTATAGCTGTCCAAATTGTAGCATAGAAAAATCTGGAGCCTCCCGCCTTGTAGTGGTACCAGGACCTTAAAACCACTAAACTTCTTTTCTAATTCTGGACAAGTCACCTCAGGAATAACCTTACCGCGGGAACGTTTGAAATTTGCCATTGTGCCAATCGCTACAGTATTCGAATACTAACTGCACAACCATTAAAAGCTCTCCTTCGCGAAAGCATACTGCACAAATTCAAGGACCCACTGTTGGCATGGTTTTGCGTGTCTAAAGTATCGCCTTGATCATCATTTACTCTTCATCACTGGCTGCTCGACAGCGAGTATCTGTCAAGTAATGTTTTTTGTTCATAGCGACATGCGGATGACTATCGATTTCGTTGAACCACGAGGCCTAAGCAAATTACATATTCAGGGAGGTTGAATAAGATCTTCCAAGAAATCTAACCTCCTGTAGAAGCTTAAGAAACTATCTGTCGCTCAATGGAACCTGCGGACATTGAACGATGATGGCAAACGGGCGACATCCTCAGAACTACAGTGCGATATAAACGGTATATTCTTTGCCTCTGTTAGACATACAGATCAATATTAGGACATCAGCGGAATAAACATGGATTGTAGGCAACCAGGGATTGGCTGCAACGCTGGAGTTGCAGTTGTGACATCCCTCGACTGGAAAACTCTTCGTCCTCCATCGACAACATCAGCTACGTACGATTATTTCCTGGTTCGAAACAAAACGTGTTAACGTGAAGTATGTCCTCGTGTATATCACAGTACATGAAGGATTTAAATTAACAGCCGCCATACGCCTGGCATCAGACATTTTATTGCTTCCTTCCCGAGACGCAGCTGATCGATCATTGATGGTCACATGAACCTAGGGCTGAGTAAATCATCACTCTTACCGCCGTGTGTTACTTAGCAAGTCAATAATTGCACTCGCTGAGTGTGAGAGGCAGTCGCGCGTCATTTCTACATGTACATGCGGAAATGTTCAGTGAGTCAAATACCACCTTGAAAGTCTGAAAATCGAATCGCTCTGAAGGCTAAAACCCTACCTCCGTGCAGCTTCTGCGACCACACTCCAACTCTGTGAAAACTGTGCCGAACTTTAAGGTTTTAAGATATCCTTCAAATGTTGATCTGTCGGTTTCAGATACAGAATGACTCATCATCACCTCTTAAACTCTGAGGTAGACATATCTGCAAACATCGATTT